AGTTTGAACAACAGGAAAATAAAGTTCAATATTTAATTATGTTTAAATAAACAGAGAAAACTCACGTCAGTTTCTTCACTTTGCAGATTGAACTCTCCAGAATCTCACACAGATGCTTCATTCCAGAGTCTCCAAAGGTTTTCCCTCCTCTGATCTCATCTATTATCACTTCAGTCAGATGAAGGTTGGACTTCAGAGCTGAGGCCACGATTTCACTGTTAGCCTCATTGAGAGAAAAGCCACCAAGTCTGTGATTAGAGGAGAAATAAAGTCAGTTCTAATGAAATCAGACAATCTGGATGATAAACACAGACTAAAACATGATGAGCAAGCAGTGGAAATTTATGGCTGTAATAAATGATGGGATTAAATCAAATGAGCTGCATGAAGGAACATGCTTGTTAAAATACAAGCTTTAGAAATGAGACCCCTGGTCCTCAGATCCATCCAGCCTCTCTGGATCTGCTACTGAGAGATGCAGCAGCAGCACCGGGAGCTCAGAGCCTCGAACAGAGGTGGAGAAAACCAAGAGTCCTCTCCAGGACTGAAGTCTAATAGTAGATTATGGTGGCCAAATTTCCGGCTTTAGGGCGGACAGTCCGGATTTTCATTGCACTGTCCGGCCCCGCATCCAGCCGGACGTGTATTTGTCCTCCTCTATGAGGCACTAGGCTTGTAGAGCAGATTTTTATTTAGTTTTTTTTGCTGGGCTGCAGCACAATATCCAATCATCAAAACTGCATCACTATCTGATCTAACAGATGATTGGCTAAGATTGGCAGCGTGTCAGATAAAGATCTGCTTCTCATTGGTTACAAAGGTAAACTTTTGTTGTTTAAAAAAAAATTGACTATTTTATCATGAATGTTTCTTGTTAAAAATATTTTTTAACGTTTAAGTCCACACATCTTATGCTTTGTGGTATTCTGTACTTTAAAGATTCATCTCAGTGGTCACTTTTTAAACACCACAATGTATAAAATAAATACATATGCTGGGAACCAATTCTTTTTTACATTTCTTTAATATTTTGTTCTATTCAGCTACACAAGCATCCTCTTTAAATTACTAAGAATTGTACTTTAAATGTGACTTTACCCGATTCTTATCTACACCTTAGTAATTTATTGATATGCCGCACAATTTCCTCCTTTTTGGTGCTATAGAAATGGCCACCCTATAGTAGGGTGACCATATTTTTATTTGGGAAAACCAGGACACCTTGGAGCGGGATGATCCCATCATCGGGATTTGCTCCGTGATCAGAGGAAATGTTACTTGGCGC